ACCTAGATTCTATGCCATTTTCACTCCACGACTCCGCAGTCGACTTTGTTTTTTAAATGACGCATTGTTCGCAGTCACATACATATACACATAAATACGCTTTTGTGTGCGTCTGGTCTGCGTGTTTAATTTGCAAATTCAAAATGCGAAAAAAATAAAGAATGTTGTACGTACATTGTACATACATGTTGCAAAAATGTGCTGCATTAAGCGGAGCAGCAAACAAGAAATTTAAGTGAATTGCGCTCATTGTTTCTGCTTTCGTTTGTTTTTCTCGATTTTTTCCTTCATTTTTTTGAGTTGCCCGAGTTGGAAATAGAAATCCCTTATATAGACCATCCCGTATATGCATAACATTGAAACTTGGCCTGGGAGCTTCTCAAGATAAGATTAGATAGGATGAGATAAGGAACTTTGAATTCCGATCGGGGATTGTTTAGGTGCCAGGAAGGGTTTGGCAAACACTTAATATAATTTGAGGTGTTATATCACTCGGTGGTAACGGAAACCGTAAAAGAAATCCATTTTTGTTATCTTGAAATCGATTTTTTCGGATCCAAATTGCTTATCATACTTAAGTAATAATTCGGAATGATAGGTAAAAAAAAAATTAATGATATATGGGTATGAATCACTTTTAAAAACCATTTATTAAATTAAAGAAAGTCTTTAATGTAATAAAAATAATATATGAAATCTGATATATGCTATGAAATATTATTTAAATATGTATCTATAACTCAAGCTTTTCCACATGAAAAATCCTAAAATATAAATAATAAATTAGTATTTTTTGAGAAGATTTTAAATGTATGTAATTTCTTAATAAATGATTTTTTATAAGAAATCCTAGAAGAGGTATAGTACCCTGTAATTTCTCTGTGTAGTCAGGATTTGGCTTGGGTCAAGGAAAAAGGAAGCGCTAATTGCAGGCATGGTGCATGGTACATAAGCCATTTTCCCAACTCTTTGGCCCAATTTCGCCAAATCGATGGCTCGGTTCGGGATCGCTGGGATCGGGATCTTTATCGCGCCATGTCGAGCGTAAGACTCGTAACTCTCCCAGGAAAAGGAGGACTCGAGGGGGGTTTGAGGGGGAAGAAGAAGAAAAGCAGGAGTCCGAAGTTACAGCTGCAGAACAGGACAGGATGAAAGGCCAGAAGTGGAAACGCGAAACGGAATCGCATAAAACGGAAAGTGCAGCAAATTGTGGCAGCTGCAACATTTTGTGTGTGTCTTGTTTTTTTCCTCTTTTTTCCTCGCTGCAGGTTCTCTTCTTTGCCTTTTTTCCTCCTTTTTTTTGTATTTTGTTGGTTTGGTTTGCTTCGCTTGGCCGTTGGCCTTTTACCGTTTTTATTGAAGGCACACTGGCAACAAAGATAATGTGAGTGAGATGGCACGAGAGGGGAGGGAGCGAGAGGGGGCGAGAGAGGGACAATTGCAGCACGCAAATTGCAGTCGACAAAATAATCAGACTTTAATTGTCGTTCTGCAACAATGTGCAGAAGAACTCAAGGCAGCCCAGAGGAACAGAACCCAAGGAACTCAAGGAACTCAAGGAACCCGAAAACGAAATTAAGGAGAAGCGAGAATAATGGGGCAAATGACTCTGACTCAGTTGTCAACCGAAATCAGGCGAAAAGTTTCGCAATTTCAAAACTTACGGGGGTGAAATGCGCATAAAGATGCGAAATGCTTCATTTTTAGTGTGGGAAATCGCCTGGGAAATATCTTAGGTGCGTCGGAATGTCAGTCGACTATGTAACATAAGATAAAGAAATTTTATATTGCTAGGGGTGATATGAATGTGAACCGATTTATACTACAAGTAAAGAATAATTGGTTCGAATTTTTGGACTTCAAAATACTTAATGATTCGAAATAATTTTTGTAATGACTGATACATTTTTAAGAATTTCCAAGCTCAAAAGAATTTATAATTATGACTTAATTGTTATCTTCCATTTTTAACAATAACACAGGCCGACAAAATGTGACATGGGTCGGTGTCCAGGCCTGCCACCATTTTATTTCGGTAAATGAGGCTTTTCTAAGCATAAGTTGCCACTACGCCTATAGTCCATCAGCTCTGGTATTTGCGGTATCTTTAATTTAAGAAAATCACAAATTTTCTTCGTCTTTTGGGATATATCTTCAAGAGTGGTCAACCAATTTTGGTAATCTTTTCGGAATTAAATAGTTGCACGTCTCTTTTATACGGTCGTTTTGGAAAATTCAATCTAACTGAACCACAAGAGAAGGTGGGCGCATTTAAAATTTTAAAGTCACAGCAAAGTTTAAAAATCTTTATTTGTGAACAGCGTTTAAAAATTAAATAAAAATATTTTCTTCTACAATGCATTTTTGATCCAAAGACACCTTATGTCCCTAATTTTTAGGACACTCATCAGGTTTTTGTGTATTGTTTTGGAATTTTTAAAATTGTTTTTCTTACTTCCTTCACAGTGACGATTCACAAACAGTGCCCAAACCTGTCACAATTTTAAATATCATAATTCTAAACGATCTAAGTAGTTTTGCTTTGAGTATAAGCACATGAGCGTAGCCTACTAATCTTTGGGGGCTGAAATGCTTGAAGTGTAATCCCCCTCCAGCTTTTAGCTTACGCCCATGTATAAATATTATTAAAGCAAGGGTCACTTGTGCTCAAAAATAGTTATGAGTTACGTAAAATAGTGACAGGTTTGGGCACTGTTTGTGAATCGTCACTGTGAAGGAAGTAAGAAAAACAATTTTAAAAATTCCAAAACAATACACAAAAACCTGATGAGTGTCCTAAAAATTAGGGACATAAGGTGTCTTTGGATCAAAAATGCATTGTAGAAGAAAATATTTTTATTTAATTTTTAAACGCTGTTCACAAATAAAGATTTTTAAACTTAGCTGTGACTTTAAAATTTTAAATTCGCCCACCTTCTCTTGTGGTTCAGTTAGATTGAATTTTCCAAAACGACCGTATAAAAGAGACGTGCAACTATTTAATTCCGAAAAGATTACCAAAATTGGTTGACCACTCTTGAAGATATATCCCAAAAGACGAAGAAAATTTGTGATTTTCTTAAATTAAAGATACCGCAAATACTAGAGCTGATGGACTATAGGCGTAGTGGCAACTTATGCTTAGAAAAGCCTCATTTACCGAAATAAAATGGTGGCAGGCCTGGACACCGACCCATGTCACATTTTGTCGGCCTGTGTAATTTACTTGAATTTAAAATATTAATAAGAGGATTTAATAAATGGTTTAACATTTTTTTATTTTTATTATTACACTTCTTTAATTTATCTTGAAATCATTCATTCATTCTGATTATTATTCATATGAAATTGGTTCAAATCTGTGGTATTTATTGTGTTAAAGAATTGATTTGCTTGACTTATTTTATTTTTATAAATCATTTTTGAGGGCTTTAAGAACAATTTACTTAATTACCCCGAGTTAATTAATATGCCATTTGCACTCACTTAAACACCTCAAAGACCCTGATTTTATGCATCTCTCTTCGCATTTACAAACTAGTGCAGCTTGAGGCGCATCCAGTGCATGCATAATAATCATCCTCGCACATTACAATCCTCCTCATCATCATCATCATCGTCGTCATTTCATCGTGGTGATGAAAAAGCCCAGGTTCCGAGCCCAATGAACTTTCTGAAGCGCAACGAAATGTTCGCTGGCTAAAATGCAAAAAGCCAAAGGACGCGCACGGCAACAAAAAAAAAACGAAACCAAAAGTACACCTGTTCTGCAGAAAAAAGAAATAATAAAAATAAAAGATACAAAAAATGGCGAAAAAAGGCAAGAAAATGACAACGGCGTTGAAGGCATCTGAAATACGCTTATGCGATGGTATAAGTGTGTGTTGTGTGTGTGTGTGTGTGAGAGAGGCTTTACAAAGCCAAAACCAACTTGGCAGCATAACTTACAAGCCAAAAAAAGAAAAAACAGAGAAAAAACAACAACAGCAGCAGCGGCAATAAAAAGCCAGAAGTGAGTGTCCTTTAGCTCATTTTTTTTCGCTGTTCGTTTTTTATTATATTTTTTTTCGCCGCTTCCTGCCTCGCTGACTTGGCCGCTCATTATATAGTCAAAGACCATAATTATGTGTTGAAGTTTGTAGATGTTTAAGGCCAGGAAGGGAACGAGAAACAGAGAACAAGAACAAGAAAACTTTTCAGCAAGGATATTTTTATAAGAAACTTTTAAACACCTCCATCTAAAAACTTTACTAACCGAATTTATTTTTCCATGTTTTTCAGCTTTTAATCAAAGGATTTGAGAACAACGGCCACAACAACACATAAAATACTTTGGAAGATCTTTAAACTCGTCAAATAAAAAACCCCCCTTTTCGGCCCACAAATCAAAATCAAAAAGCAAAATGAATTAAGCTAAACAACACACAACTTATATGAAATATAAAATATTATTACTATTAAAGCCAATAACAAATAACGCGCTAATGTTTAATTAATTGTTAAGACCACAAAACCCAAACAAACAAACAAACGGAAGACAAAGATTTTTAAGCCTACGCATTAAGTACAATTTACTAGATATAAACACTTAAATTATTTTTATATCCGACGACATATTCAACAAAGCAAATTCAATTGAAAAACGAAGCAAAAACCAGAGTACAAAAACTTAATCAATTTACAAACAAGCAAGCATCAAATATTATCAACAAAACAGCAAAGTAATTAATAAAGTAAATACAACAACAACAACGCATACAAAATACAAATTTTACAAATTACAAATTTACAAAGATTTTTAAAAAGAAGAAAAGTAACCAAGTCTGCTAAAAAATAAAATCAAATATTAAAATACAAATTTTTGCCTAGCTGCCGTTTTTACAAAACCAACAAAAGAATAAAGTACAAAACAACCAACAAATCTTAAACAATTTTTAAACAACAATTTAATAAAAAGCACTTTACAACAGAAGAAGAAGAACACCATTAAGAAATAAATAAAATATTCAACACGCAAAACCAGTGAGTTCAAAAAATAAACGACATACAAATCTTGGAGTAGCTTCAACTTATATATATATTATATAGTATAAAAAAATAATCAGAGTGTTTTACACTAGCCAACAAGCAAACAAATACGAAACGAAACGAAACCAGTCAGAAACATTTTTAAAAAAGAAGAACTACCTCAGAAAGCAGAGAAAAGTGAACCGAAAAGTGTACAAAAATCGAATTAAATCTTTTGAAAAAATCAGTACAAAGCCCCGCAGTTTTCAAAGACAACTGCATAGCCATGCCAGAGTTTGAGCTTAAATGGCGTCTTCAATTTTAGCCCAGAGCAGCACAGGCGCTACCGTCGACAGCAGCAATTTGGGAGCAACATCTGCAGCAGCAGCAGCCGCAGTAGCAGCAGCAACATCCGTGGAGGCCACTGTGTCCAGTCTGCACAATACCCATCTCAATCAGCTGAGCAGCCTCAGCCAGCACTACACAACGACCTACCATCACCCAGTGCATCCTCATCACTACCAGCAGCATCATCACTATCCGCAGCAGCAGCAGCAACATCTCCAGCAGCAGCAGCAACACCAGCAGCAACAGCAGCAGCAGCAGCAGCACTGGGACTACTATGCCAGGCAGCAGCAGCAACATCAGCAGCAGCAGCAACAGCAACAGCCAACGGCCGCCACCAACGGCAACAGTAGCAACAGCAACAGCAGCAACAGCAACAACACTACGGTCCCAGCTCCACTGGGCAGCAGCAACAGCAGTAGCAATCATGCTAATGTTGCAATTGGCGGCAGCAACACTGGCCAGCGGCACGGCGATGCCAATGCCAATGCCATTTCCGCCGCCTCCGCCGCAGTAGGAAATCCGGGTAGCCAAGTAAATCCCAGTGCCAACTCGAATTCGAACTCCAATTCCAATTCGAACGGCAGCTACACGCGTCCCTGGGAAATGGAGTCCAAGGACAATGGTCCACAACCTCAACCCCAACAGCAACAGCAGCAGCAACAACCTCATCATCTGCAGTTAAAGAGCGGCTTTGAACCCTTCTCCAAGCTGCCCTCCTTTCAGAGTCAGTTCCATGGCTTCAATGAGCAACTGCTGCCGGATGGAACACCCATGCCAGTGCCAATAGGAGCAACAGTAGCAGCAACAGCGCCACCTGGCGGAGGATCTGTAGTAGTACCACCTCCTGCCGCTCCACCCACTGGAGGCTCCCTGCAAACGGTGGCCATGTCGCCCGCCAGCATCTCAGTCAGTTCACCCGGGATGATGAGTGTGGGTTCGCCTTTGACCCAGCTATCGGGAATGCAGACCAGCATTACTCCGCCCTCCGCTCAGGTGGGCAGTTTTCCGGCTCCACCGCCGCCGAATGCCTTTGCCCATCATCATGCTCTGAATCCGCATCATCATCATAGAGGAGCAACTACTGGTTATCCCACTCCCTATGCCGAACTGCCACTCTATCCGGGATTCACCCCCTTGAGTGTGAAGAAGGAAACGAGCAGCAGCGACTTTGAGATGCTGCTCAAGAAGGAGGACTTTGATCTCAGCAACAGCGGTGGACAGATACACCATCCACATCTGCAGCATCCCATTCCGATGGGCATGCACACCCCCACCTCGTATGATGGCAACAATAGCAACAACAGCTATCCACAGGCAACGGGTGGAAATGGTAGCGGAAATGGAAGTCATACACCGCACACGACCACCTCGAATACCCAACTACCCACGCCCACCACAACCACACCGGTGAAGGTCGAGAAGCTCCTCCAATCGCCGATAGCCCGATTGGAGGCCCGGAAGAAGGAGCGCCGGAAACAGCGGCCCAATTCGCTGGAGTCCAGTGCCGAGAGCGAGGCCAGCGGCATGGACGTAGACCCCAGCAATCCTGGCCAAGTGGACGCCGTGTCCAGCACGGCCAACTTCAAGAGTCCGCTGAGTGCTTTGGGGATGGGGGATAGCAACGATGCCAATGCCAGCGGATGCGACAAGCAGGTAAGTGATCGATACGTGGGTGGGGTTGTTGAAATTAAGGCAATGTATCGAAAAAATCGATAAGTTTATGATGGTGCGTTAGAATAATAATTAAAGATAAAATTGATCGGTATTTATCGGTAGAAAATAGGAAATTGCCATTGTTTTAAACAAATCGATGTATCGATAAACAATTATTTTTCGAATTTTAGAAAAATATTAAAAGCAAATGATCCTTTAATTAATCATTGCTAAATGAAAGAAATAAATTATTTTCCAGCTGATTAATTTTTGCAATAGATAGTTATTTAAAGTAAAAATATACCGATACTTATCGATAAAACCGATATATTCCGATTTATATTCAACAACCCTGCCGCTTAACGAGCGAAACGGGGCGAACTGGCAACCGCTGCGATTAACAGGACTACGGTCGTCGCCACCATCTTCCGCCACCCACACTGTCACGACCCCCAAACACCCACACACCCACCACCCACAACCATTACCCACAACCACACCACAACCACTCCAACGACAACAACTCCTCTTCCTGCTCTCTTTTCCAGTCGAAGAAGAAGCGCAAGCGGTGCGGCGAATGCGTGGGATGCCAGCGGAAGGACAATTGTGGGGAGTGCGCCCCCTGCCGAAACGACAAGAGCCACCAGATCTGCAAGCAGCGCCGCTGCGAGAAGCTCACCGAGAAGAAGGTGAGTTCCAGTCCATTCTCAGATCCTAACTCAACGAATCGAAATACGAGTATCGCAGCACAGATTCATTCACGGACAGCGCAAAAGTTACTCAATGAAATTGGCGGGGCACAGTGGGTTTTTCGGGGAAAGTAAAGATAGAGGAAGGGAATTCTTCGAGAAATAATACAATATTAAAAACCAAAAAATGATACAAGATTAAAAACCAAAGATATATACAAGAAAAACAAGATTTTAGGAATATTTTGAGAATTAATCATCGAGATCTAACATAAACCTTTAAGATAGAAAGGAATTCAGAGTTTTAAGGATGGTATTATCTTACAATTCCCAACTAAGATCTAATATGTACTCAAAATATCATAGTTTCTTTTGGAAAAGAATTAATTCTAAAAAAATTAGAGTGTTAAAAAGGGTATTATATATCAAATCTAACCCATAAACTCCCCATTCCGAACCACTGTGCCCAACCGGGCAGCTGGGAATCGGTTGAAACTGGTTTTGGTCCTCAAAAGAGAGCCGGCGGCGTCCAAGTCGCATCCACATCCACATCCACATGAACATTCGCATACAAGATATTCGCGGTCTTTCGCACCAGCGGTCAGTCACTCAGGATTTATGTCAGCGCAACAGATGTTCCCTGGCCAAGTGCCTCGTCCCGTCTCTTTCTGCGGCCCCTCCGGCAGTTGTCTCCGTCTCTTTCGCTGTCTCTTTCTCCAGCTGCCTCGATTTAAGATTTAACTAGTAACCTACAATGAGGCGAGGAGTGCGTGTATGTGCCCAAGTGGCTGCTGGCGTACGAGGTGCACTCGAGTATCTCGAATGAGTGATCCGACATCCGCGCATCCTCCAGATACTTTAGCTCCTTTTCGAAATCACTTAAGATGCCGCAGGCAGAAGAGCGTGTCCTTTGAGCGGTCGGAAATCAGGTTGCACATGTGTGTGCGCGAGATCTCAAATTGCGCTGCATGTCGTCACTAGAATTTTTGTTGTTTTTGGGTAGGATTCGAGGTAAAGTGGAAGCAGCTCGGGAACAAGTTCAATGGCCCAAGGACCACTAAGGAGTTTCAAGTGATCCGTTGCCAAGGATATGTATGTCTGCATCTCAATTTTCTACACAGCGTTTGAAGATTTGAAGGAGGAGAAGAATTGGGAATGAGTAGAGACGGTATTTTGGGATTTAAGCCACTTTGAAGATTATGAATGAATTTAAGAAATACTTAAAATGTGTTTAACTTATAATTCCAAAATTTAACTATGATAGCTTCCAAATAATTAGATTAAAAGAAGAGTACCAATATTATACTAATTTTTTTTCAAGAAAACTCTCCTTATAAAACCGAAAAAAGACCATATATTTTACTCTCCTATCTTTCAATTTAATTACCCCAATAAAATGATTAGGCCATCCAAAGAATTTCTTTCGTTTGTCAGTTGTCCAAGGTCTTGTTCCGAATTTCCTATCCCCCCAACCATTTGCCAAAACTCAAAATAATCAGGGTATTTGGAGTATTTCCAATATTGACAGACGCTTCCATATTGCGGCGTTATTTTCTCGGGGCCCCGGGAATACAAATACAGACGTCCAAGAACAACAACAACAACAATATGCCATGCCATATATATAAAATAAGAACAACAATAAAAATAACGATAATAACGAATCGAGGCAACGAAAACAACAATAAAAGGAAAGGAAAGGAGCAGATGTTCACAAGTTACAAACGCGGCTTTTGATCGCACACTCACACTGATAGAGATACACACACACTGGCAAACAAAGCGGCACACACAGATACACGCAGACAGACAGCGATAAATAAATAAGCGAGTGCGCAGCGTTTTGTCTCTCAGTCGCGATCAGCGGACTGCAAACAGGAAACAAAAAAAAAAGACTATATGAGAGTGTGCGAAAGAGAGGGGTATATGCTGTAAGAAAGAGACGGCATCAATGGACAATTAAGGTTGACAAGAGCGAGGAGATCGGGCGCTATACAAAAGGCCGTCAGACGAGAAAATGGCACGCAGAGATCTCAACTATAGACCCCTATATAAACCACCCCCCTCTTAATAAAACCCCCCTCTGTAAGACCCCTCCTTCCACTTTAGGCGACACACATAGATAAAGTTGTAAATTTCGCAGTTTCACCCGAGGAAAAAGAGCAACAGTTGACATGTCAATATGGACAGGGTATTTTCAAGATGCTCAACGCGATAGTGCAACGCCAATTTGGTTCTTCCTCTACTTCCCCCCACTTCCTCGTCCCCCTCCTCCTCCTCCTTCGCCTGGACAATTGACGCTTTAGTTTTATATCTTCCTTTGCTTTATCATCGCCATCCGCAACATCATTATCAGGGTTTTCATTGTCCAACTGCCTCACATGTTGTCGGCTGAGCTACTGGAACACTATGTCACTGGGTTGGGGTTTTCCGAAAGTGAAAAGAAAGTGTAGCAAATCATTCGGAATTTAAAATATGTGTATATCCAAATCACAACATAAAGACTTTTTAATTTCAAAATATCTATACTTCTCATAAAGTAAAGTTGTTTTAGTATTTATCCCTTTTTAAAACAATTTAAAAATTTTTTTATAAATTGAATTATTCTAATACTAAAAATCTTTATAATAAAAAAGTTGTTTATGAACTACAAACGAAAAAAGTATATTTTCTGTCAATTTTTAAGGCAATCGATTTAATAGTTTTTTTTAAATAATTTCCAGCTTTTCCTTGTAGCTTAGTGTATGCTGAAATTACTCATGTGCTCATATATTTATGCCTTTGTCCATGGACTTTATAATGACAAGGTTTTCGCGGTTTTTTTTCCTCAGCCTGAAAGTTCTCAGCTAAAACTCACAGCTGGTCCCGTCTGTCGAGCTGTCGGCTTCCTCGGTCCGGTTTTCATTCTTAATGGCGATAAATTTTGAACGTGAATTATTTCATTCTTCAGTTTCCCATCGAAGATCAATGCACTTTTCGACTTTTTCTTTAGTATTTTTTTACAAATAACTCAGACTTTAAGACTTGGATTTCAAGTCCCTTTACGGCCAGCTTTCCCTCTTGGATTTTCGTTTAATATTTTTTGTAATTTCTTTTTTTACTTTCCCAAATCAGCTGAAAAGACCTTCGGGCTTAGTCATTAACTTGGCTATTTGAATTGCTCAGCGAACTCACTCCCACTTTGGTTTTTCCCCCTAAAAAAGAAATCTCTGGACAGGCCTATCTAAGAGGATATTTCCTGTGTCGCTCAATTTGTCTCGGGCACTTTTTTTTCTTCTTTAAATATGCAGTTTTTCTTAGGAATTTTCTCATTAAAATTTGAACATTTTTTCAACGTCTTTATTTTTTTTTTCTGCGGCATCCACAAATAAAAGAAAATCAACAACAAGACGAGGCAAATATTGAAAGTGTCTGGGTGAAAGGAAAGTTGGAAGTTGGCGAAAGCCAAAGAAATCAACCCCGAAAGTCCATTTGGTTCTGGTCTGTTTGGGGGTTTGAGTGATTGACTTCATTGGGCTGTCCAAGGATGCTCTTCCAGCTTCTCCTCCAAGAACTGGTCCCCTTTCTTTGCCTGGCTCTTATTTTCAATTCACGTTTCGCAACGCAACTTCATTGAGGCAAATGCACTGGAGTCACTAAAAACCAACGAACAGCCATAACAACTTAAAGGTTTTCGCTTCATGCATACGAAATGCGAGGAAACATGCATATGCTCACATGGAACACCCTGGCGAGTATCCTTATCCTTAGTCCTTCTTTGGGCCAGGACGAGTGCATTGCTCCTACTTGAGGCCACACAGAAACACACCAACACACATTAACACTCCCCGTTCGTGACATACTCTCGGCAAACACACACTAACAGAAAGAGAGAGTGGGCGAAAAAGAAGAGCACTTGCCAAGGTGGCTCATGCACTGAGGGAAAAGAGTAGTCCATTTCTAAAAATGAAAAATATTTTAAGGCATATTTGGTTTAAATTTACATAATATTCAATAAAATACCACTGTATTCTTTATGGATCTTTAGGATTTTTAACTTTAAATCGAAATCTATCGGAAATAATAATAATATTATATGACAGTCTTTTTCTCAAACATTTCTTATTTATGAAACAAGTTATTATAAATCTTAAGTCAGTTATCATCTAATATTTCAATTTTAAATGCAAAATTTTGTTTTTATTTTTCGAAGATATATTTCTAAGATCTACCCTGAAATATTGGGAACTTTGAGATACTTTTTTTTATCAGTGGCCGAGTTTTTGGCACGTTGGCTTGCCAGCTCCTGGAAAACAGGATAATACCCATACACACACTGGATACTTGAGCCACAACTGCAACGCATGGTGGTGGTGATGATGACGATGATGATGATTATGACGGTGACGTTGGATGTGCTTCATTATGAGCATGTTGTGCAATCTGATACTCGGTCGTGGTCGTGCTCCTCGGATATCTAGTTGCACTTGGGCATCCTCTTTCATCCTGCCCAGCTATTCGCTATCGGCTATGGGCTATCTCTTTCCCAGTGGATATTACTTGGCCCTGGCTGACTCAGCTTTATGGCCGAAAAATTGAAAAATGGAAAAATATGTTGGGCAAAAATCTGTCGTTGTCTTCTTTGGTTAATTGCCGCTTGTGGCCAATGGCCAGGCACACGACTCCCCGTTCTTGTCGTCCGCCAGTGATTCAATCATTCAATCTATTGGCAGCATTATGTGCGTTTGTCATTCGATAAGTCCCAAAAGATGCTGCCAGGCATGTCTCCCATTTACTCCCCGAAATTCGGGCTTGAGTTTCGGTTTTTCAGTTTTCGGTTTGAGTTCAATGCTCTGAATTCAGCTGGCAGATAAAGTTTTGTTTTAGATTTGAGTTGAGTTACACGCAGGAAAAATAGGGAACGTTTTTATTTAAATTAAAATAATATTAAATTTATATAATTAAGTATAAGAAATATTTGGTTATGAATATTGGACTTTACATAATTTATTGAAGTTGATTTTTGTGTAAGGCAATAACAAACAAATATTTACTTATAAAAAATTAATATTTGTTGTAATAAAAATATTTTTCATGATATTTTACTTTAAATATCATGAAAATATGTTTTTCGAAAATTGAAGCAATTTTAAATAACCAATATTGATTAGAGGAAAATTCAAAAATCAACCTTTAAAATATCCCTATTTTTCCTCTGTAAATCAGCTCGTGTCCTCAGGCCGCCTGGCCACAAAATCCTATTGAAAATTCCAGGCAGCTTCCGTTGTTTTATTTCCTTCTCGAAGGATTGCATATTCATCTGTTGCAGGGAGCACACACTATTATTCGTAGACCATCTGCAGAACAACGCTCGCCTGCACATCTGTTCGCATTGTATGGAATATGGAATAGGAATTGGAATAGGAATCGGAATTAGAATCGAAATCCTAAGCCAGAAGAGAGTCCTGAGAGCAGAACTTAAGCCTCATGCCGTTCAAACACACATGCACGCACGTCCATTAAAATGGCATTGATGAATGATGATTTTTCTGTTCTGTATATTATGTTTTATTTTAAGCAGCTTAGGCTTTGTGGGGATTTATGTGTGCGTCTTTTAATTGCCAAAATTTAAACCATAACTTTGAGAACCACAATTTTAAATTTGCATCGTTTTTCTGTGCATTTGCCTGTTTTCATTTTAATGGCTGCTCATTGGTGAGGCTGTTTGGGCACGCAAATTGCCGCCATGACAGCCAATTAGTGGGCTTATTTTTTCTGATAGCCGCGACAGTCGGTCTATATACTTTTGCACACATATAGGGTTTTATTTTCCAGCATTGAGTAATTTTTGGTCCCTCGTGCACAGAGATTTATTTAATTTATAATTATTGCTAATTATTTTATGCATCGCAGCTTATTTGTATTTACAGTTGATTTATTTTCATTTTCTATCTTTTTTCCCGTTTCAGGAACCCAAAGCCAAAACCGTACGTATACATTTATATATTTTCATGTAATTATATTTGCAGTCGCAGGGGCATTAAGTAATTATTATTTAATAATTGTGGGTGCATTGAATTATTAATATGATATAATCTGGGAAATAATAAGGGGTTCTTAAATGAAAAGTAAAGGATTTTGTAAAGGGGTTTTATTAAGGATCCTTATTTTGTGTCGAGACTACATTTAAATTAAAGGGAAATATTTTTGTTATTTTTTCCCAAATTTTTATCAAATTTTGTGCATATTTAGTGCTCAATATTTTGTTGGCTTATATTACTTGCAGAATTTCTATTGTTTACCCTGAAGATACAAATGTGTCTTTTCATCTATGTTCAGGGAACTTTTTTGTGTGGTAGTTTTGGTGCTCTTTTTTTACCAGCACATTTTTGTTGTTGCTCTGTTGTCTCCGCATAAATTAAATAATAAAATGCTTGACTCTGTCTGTGTGTGAGTGTTTGGCAGTCTGCGCAATTGAATGCTTTTGTTGCTGTATTTATGGAACAGATTTACCGCTCATGTGGATGATGATGAGGATGATGGGATGGTTGGGTTGATCTGATGGTTCTGATTCTGATTCTCATTCTGATTCTGGTGGTGGTTTTGCTACTGATTCTGCCTGATGACAATCAGTCGAGTTGGACTGCACACAGCACACATTTATATAAATCTGCGCGCTGATCGTAAAGCGTTGTTAAATTTTAATAAATAAATGTTCACATCCTTGTTAAGTTGCCAGCAGGGCGAACATTTGCATTGATTGCACTAGCACAGAACGCAGAGCTCAGAATAAAACAGACAAGAGCTGAAAGCGAGAAATGCAAATTAATGTTATATAATTACGCATGGCAAGGAACACGCTGCGTATACTTGATGCCAATTTGCATAAGGGTAAGGCTGAGAAAAAAAAGAAAGAAAGGAGGGTCTTTGTGTGTACTTATCCTTGTAATAGTTAAAGGACAAAAGTGCCGCATTGCTCCTTCGGTAATGAGTGCAAAATCAGTTACCTTCTCAGTCTCCTTTTCCCTTCTTCTTTTAATGGATCCTTGGCTATGGGCAGGTGCAATCCAGCAATTAAGCAATTTGTTGGCTGTTATTGTTTATTAATAAACAAACAACAAAGCGAAACACCGAACTCTCTGGCGCTAATTGCCACAGCAACCGATTACAGAAAAGGTTCAGAGGTACAGAGAATGCAGTCAGTTAGAGCTCAAATAGATCAAGGATACACGTATATATCCCGGCACATGCGGAGTCCTAGAAGCCACGGAACCCACCGAACCCTTTTTTTCTATTTTTGAAGTGCATTCTACGCGGTGCCGGCCCCCTCAGAACTTTTCACTGCCCGCTGGCTCAATTTAAATATCAGCGATGCATGGCCAAAAAGGGGTTAAAGTTGCACAAAGAGAAAATATTTAAAATATTTGAATACTTAATAAAATAAACAACATTTCTGTAGTTGAAAATAGTGGGAATATTTTTTTGTTTTTATTCTACATATTTTAGAAATAATATATATTTAATTTAATTACAAATCAACATGTTACGGAAAATTCGAGAAATATATTTTAAAGGACCATTTATTTTTCCCCGTTTTTAAGACCAAAGAAAACAACATCGATAAAAATTCACGAAATATATTTTTATAATTTTTCCCAGTGCACCATTTGCTGTGCATGTGTATCTATGTGTGCAAGGTGCAATTGCAGTGCATTTTTCAGCTTGACCGACTCGTCGTCGTCGTTGGCGGACCCTTTTCACAGCTTATATTCCTAACTGCGCGACAAACTAAGCAAATTCGCACCCCAGCTAAAGGCAAAGCGAAAAAATAAAAGTGGCAGGAAAATGAAGGAAAATGCGGGGCGGAGTCGGAGGAAACGGTTGTCATTTAGTCCAGTTTCCGAGTTTCTGAGTTTCCGAGGGGTTAAATGCAGCCATAGGCTAACAGATACAGATACATACACACGCCTATTTGAACGAGAATACTTAACTGTAATAGCTTAGAGGGTCAGCAGGTTACAAAACTTACTAATTGCTGACTGCCTTTGGCACCGAATGGAAAATAGTGGAAAGTCAACTAAATGGGGCACTAAACGTGGCACTAAACGTGGCAAGAAGTTTTTGACGGGTAGGTGGGTGTGAGGAGAATTTAAATATAATTACATAATTAAGCGTGCAATTACACCAGCAATTTATCGAATTTTAATTGGTCTATCAACTTAGTGAGTTTTAGCATGTGTCAGGAAGGCAATTAAATATTTTTTAATTTATTACAATGAACTATTTGCTATAATTTATTGAGAAAATAAAACAAAATAATATTTTCTATGATCCTTTTCCTTTTTATCCTGAATTTCAATATGTAACATTTCCTGTTTTGCCTGCCAATTTTCCGTTTCCTGCTTTTCCTTTTGGCCAAATCCGTTTAAGTCAAGTGAATCAAACGAAAATCACAGACTTTATAAAACGTAAGGCCAACGAACGTCGCCTTACAATTTCAATTTCCAAATGTTTTCCGGAGAAAGTTGTTGCTTGTTTTCCTCTTATTTTCCCGTACAATTTTTTGTTGTTGTGCTTTGCTTACAAAGTGCCTATCAAGCTGTAGCAACAACAACAAAAACAGCAAAAAAAAACGAAATGATTGCATTTTGACAACAAATGGGAAATGGAAAATTCTGGCATATTGTTACAACAAAAACAAGGAGCAAGAGGAAAAAAGAGAAAAACAGGCGAAAACGGGGACGCACTTTCCAAATCGATTTTTGATTATTTTTGCTTATCATTCTGTTTGCTCCTTCCTCTGTTCCTTTTTTTTTGGTGTGCCTCCTCCTTGGAAAAACAACAAGGAACCGCCGTAAATTCAATTTAATTTTCTTTAAATATTATTTGAGACAATTTCAACAGCATTACATTTTTTCGTCGCTCTGTGCGGAGTTTATTTTATCATGTTTACTTTCAATAACTTTCATATATATCCCCCATTCCGCGCATAAACCTGGCAAACACAACAAAAAAGGATAAAAAACCATCTCCGCGTTGTGGAAAACAAATTTCAGTTCGTTTGCTATTTATTTTATTTATAGCTGAGAGCCTTTTTTGCATTTGGCGGACTTTTGTTTGTCGGCGCAAATTGAAAAATATAATTGAAACAATAAATTGTTATGTTGTCGAGCATCGAGCACTGAAAGAGTTGCCTTGCCGGGGATTATGTGTATTTGTTTGCTTTCGCTCGACTTGCTTTTCTGTTCCTGTACGAAAAAGAGAACGCAAAAAAATCAATTTAATTTCAGGTTTTTTTTGCCCGGCTAACAACTAAAAGTTGGTCTCAGTTCTCTGACCAAAGTCAAGTCATTTGCCAAAGTACGAAAGTCCTGCCGCGCATAAACATCCCCTAACTGGTGACGTGGGGGTGGTTTGCAGTCAAGACACCAAGCGAACGAAAGAAACGCAAAAAGAAAGAATTAAAGAAATGTTTTTCAAACAACAAAAAAAAAATATATATAAAATAAAGTAAAAAACTCCACAGAATCAGCGGGAGCAGCAACAACAATGAGCCGTACGTGCAACATGAATGCGCTGAAAAAATTTCACAGCACGTAGCTGGCAGTTGTAAAGTACACAATAAGAAATTGGGATGAATTTGAAGGGAACAAGATTTTTTACGGATTTAGAGAACATAACTTTAATAATTATAATTATTCCCATATGGTAATAATATTAGAAATATAGATCCTAACAAGATTAGATCCTTACTGAATGGTTTGGAATATTTAAGAAAAAAAGATTTATACTTCATGTTAAACTTGAAGTACACTTTAAACGTTTTCTAGGTTTTAAAGTCTACTTAAAATTTATTTAAGTAAATATGATAAATTTGATTTTGAAATTTTTATTCCTAGATATATTTTGCTCTACAAATTATTCCAAAATAGTCCCTTTTTTCCTCTGCAGGACCAAAACTTGTGAGCAGGACTTTGCACTTAGCATTTGCAGTGTGCGAATGTTCGTATGATATCAAACAATTTAGCGCATTGCATTACAAGTTGTTGGCGCTGAATAAAAAAAGCGAAAAAAGTTACGATGCAAGTTTTCTAATTGCAATGGCGCCCCCTGAAGGATATTAGGAGTGCAGATAAGAGGGAGTGCAAAACCAGGGCTTAACTGGGGGTTAGGCAGGGGTTAAACGGGGGTAGATCTATGGGGAAATGCGGCTGGCACGCACTCATAAAGTGTTCTTGTTGCTGTTGCTGCTGGCACATCATCAGCTATGCAAACAAATACGCATAAATATGCACGCACACACCCATCCACCCACAGCGGCTTTATGCAAAAAGCTGAAAACATGGAGAAAAAAATCATGGAGGAGGATAAATAAGAGGAAGCTCGAGAAGAGGGAAAATAACAAACTCAACACGCACACAGCAGCTAGAATGAACGGTACATGTGCAAATACATCACCTCGCCCATTCTCCACTTTCTTTTTTCATCCAAGCCTCCTCCTTTCAAGCTTTCTCCTTACGCACATTGCGTATACAACAACAACAACAGCAACACTAACTAGAAGAGGGCTGAAAAAAAAGAAATATGGAAGAAAAGAACGCACTGCAATGGCTTCTTGGCTGAACTCCCTGAACTTCTTACCTTTCCTAACCTCTTTTGGATCTTCAGCAAATAACCCTATCGGTAATACAGTGAAAAGGTGATAAGGAGAACTGAAAGTCAGATAAAAAAAGGATTTGGCATATAAATAGTGTTTAACTGGAGGTTAATTGCAAAAGTGCATCATTATATTTAGAGGCTAGTTTAAAATAGGGATTAATTAAAAATCTAGTAAATGTTTTCTTTTTTAAACAAGTTTTCTCTTGATTTAAGTTTGTTAAAAGGCGTTTAAGTTCAAGGACCTCACCCTTTATATTTGCATTGTACTCCCCAATTCACTCTTAAAATCCGAACATCAAACGCACATCAAAGCGGTGTGAACCCTTTT